TCCCCAAAGGGATTAAGCTAGTGTAGGAAACTAATTTTGAGTTTTAAACAGCAAATCACAGAGTAAGTAAATGGTACTCAATCAGAGCCTCGCTTAGCCACACTATTGAAAATCTTTTTGGCTGCAACTTTTAGTTTCTCACTTGTAATTTGCACTGCAGATTCATCTCTACTTCTGGACTCATGAAGCTGTTCATCTAAGGTCGACAACACACCTTTCCGAACAATCCGCATCAGCCTCTTCACAGTCCAGGCTGAGATATTTTTCTGAGTAAGCCTCCTCAGGTGATCGAGAGTGCTTCTTCACCCCTCGGACTTGTTTTTCTTAGGCATGAATCTTGAAAACCATGCACGTGGGCTGCTTGTAGTGGCCACTGTCTTGTCATCATCCCCCTCTTGCTCACGGGAAATCCCAGTCGACGGAATGCCATACAAAGTTTGAACCACATATTGATCGAATAGGGACTCTGGAATCCGATCAAAGAATGTGCTGACATGGAATGACAGAGCTAGGACCTTTACAAGCAGTGTCTTTACAAACCTTACAAACATTCCCACGAGCAGACATATCAAGATTCTGTTTTCTGTGACCTTCTCATGCCTCGTATTGTACAAGCACTCCCAATCTATGAAGACTACACTCAACCAAACAAAGCTTTGCAGTGCATTTCTCAGTCCATAAATAAAATAAAGAACCTTCTTTCGCAATAGAAAGTAGCGTTCCACAAAGAGGACTACAATTCTTACCCCCCACTCGAATTCATGGAACTAAAAAAACAATTCTTCTTCATTCAAAGTGGTAAATTTCACATGTAACCCCACTACATTGGAGTGCAAGTATAAATATCCTTCAAATCTTACACACTCCACTAAGCCATACAACCATATTTTTTGTAGGGGTAGCCACGCCAAGATACAAATCATATCATCAAATTTTAATAACATAAGATGAGAAAATCCACAAAGTTATCATTACAACCTCTTGAAAATTTCTGCAGATTTGCATTTCAAATTTCCTGCCCAAAAAGGTCTGTGAGTATATTTCCTTGAATCTTAGAGTAAATATACTCTGCCCCATCTTTATTTCCTTGAATCTTACACTTTATCAACATGAAATATACCCAATAGTATATGCAGCAAAGCATATATATTTATCAGCCTATTTTGTCAAAGTATAAATATAAATATAAATATATACCATCGTCTCAGGTGGCTCGGAAATGGCCCAAATTTTATTTCAATTTAACTGGCAATTGGAAATAACTGGTCACTTTATTCTACTGTATTAGTCATTATAGAATGGCAATTGGAAATAACTGGTCATTTTTTTCAAACTGACCAGCACAAGCCATGTGCTGGCCAGTTTTCTTCTACTGTAATGGTCATTATTTCCAGAAAATGGTCATTTTGAAGCAACTAAAAAAAGGCTCAGATATAAACTCTTTACATACTCATCAGTGGGAAAAAAGATATGAGAATGCCATGGCTGCTTCCAGGTAGCCTGATAGCAACGCCAAGATACGTATTATTTCATCAAATTTTAGTATAACCCAATAAGAGAAAAATATACAAAACCTATCATCACAGCCTCTTAATTGTTCAATTTATTCCAAATCCAAATGAGAAGACCACCATGGCTGCAAGAATTGAATGAAATTCCCTACTGCCAAGCCAAGATACATTATTTAAACAAACATTGAATAACAGTAAGAACCATGAAACATGGTCCATACAGTAAATGACAAGTACCCATTACAAGTGGAAGAAACCAAAAATCTCAATTCTTGCCCTCCATGTCCACACATATATAAGATTCAATTCATGGAACTAAAAAAACAATTCTTCTTCATTCAAAGTGGTAAATTTCACATGTAACCCCACTACATTGGAGTGCAAGTATAAATATCCTTCAAATCTTACACACTCCACTAAGCCATACAACCATATTTTGTTAGTTTTAATCCCCCTTCCCATTTCGTGCCCATCTTAAATTAAGATTAATTCATGCATACGATCCTATTTCCTATAGGAAAACTGGAGAAGTTTATGCTCGGAAGTGTTTTTTTCATGAAAATGAGGCATTTTTATTTAAAAAGCTATTTTTCAATTTATTAAAAAACTATTTTTCAATTTATTAGTATAAATTTCAGAGGTGAAGGTTTCATAACTCAAACATCAAATTAAGTTATACACTACTCACTCATTTTCATATCAATGGCATCCAAAAAGTTTTAAGGGATTCCAAAATTCATTTTCACTCTGAGATGAAGAGTAAGAATCAAACTGAAAGGAATAATCACGCAAAATCAGACAGAAACCCGAGCTTTATAATCTCGAATTTGGAGAGATTCGTGCAACAATTGAATTCAATGGATAAATTCAAATTCAAGCTCCAAATATTCATATTAAACACACAAAAATACTGCTTAAACGTTAACGAGGCTAGGATTGAAAGAATGGAGTCATTTACCTATGTATCGCCGTATACCTAAACGCCGGAC